TAAGCAAAAAGTTTGCTCTCAAAAATTGAACAAAGTCCAGAAATACGAGAACGCAAAAAAACACATTTCGTGCCCAGAATTTGAGAAACATCTGATTCGCGTTGTTGTTTTTGTTACTTAAATGCAAACACTTGGAAATTGAATTTTGGTTTAACAAATTTCATTTTAAGTATATAAGGATTGAAAATACATCAAAAAGCCGTTCACTATTCCTTAAAAGCACTATTTGATACATAATTTCGCTGCTTGCTACCCATGCATGCTACCACTTTGGAATGGGGTGCTCTCGTACTCTTCGAAATTTGGAATAGTATTTTTGGAACAAGTGCAGTATAGCGGCCGTTGAGGAAAGAAAAAAGTGGGCGTGGTCCGCCCCTTTTTACTGAATTGAAAGGTGTAAACAATTTTTGCTGGAAATTAATAGGGGCGGAGCTAGAGGGGATAAAGGTGTTTCTAATAAACACATCACCTTATATAGTTAATAACGTATTTTCCAATTACTCCATTAACTCCCAAGCATACTTTGACTATCCTTTTAAACTAAGTCCAATTAACTCAATACATACCCCAATAATATATCGCGATAATGTATTAGTTTACCTTAAGTCCTTAAAGCAGTCTTTTAGTTATGGTCCTGACCAGATCCCCACTTGTTTTCTTATAAATTGTGCTGATTATCTCTATGAGCCGTTAACAGCCTTATTTAATTTGTCTCTTAAAGAAGGCATCTTTCCAACTGTATGGAAAGAATCGTTCATAACCCCGCTACATAAAAGCGGTAGCAGGTCCTCGGTGGAGAACTTTCGGGGCATAGCTAAGTTCTCTGCAATTCATAAATTATTTGAAGCAATTATTACAAATCAGTTGACGCATTCTCTCTCCTCTACCATTTCATACTGTACACATGGGTTTTGCAAAGGCAAATCAACTTCAACAAATTTACTTGAATTAACATCCTATATATCTAAAAAGCATTTAGATATAAAACAAAAATGTGGATGTTATATATACCGACTTCAGTCAAGCATTTGACAAAGTATGTCACTCGCTGCTCATCTATAAACTTGATATTCTTGGTCTTCCACCTAATTTTCTACGTTGGATCTCTTCATACCTCTATGATAGATCACAAAGGGTTATGTTTAAAAATACTATTTATGACGTCATTGATGCTACTTCAGGAGTCCCGCAAGGTAGCCACCTAGGCCCGATTCTGTTCTTGCTTTTTATAAACGATATATCTACAGACATAAAATTTTCAAACATTTTAATGTACGCAGATGATGTGAATCTTTATAAACCGTACGTATCAACCAAAGAAAAGCATTTGCTTTTTTGGTGCTATGTAAATCGTATGCCTCTAAATCTGGAAAAATGTAAAGTAATGTGCTTCTCGCGAAGAGCTGTTCAGCCACTTTCTTATACAATAGATAACCATAATTTGGAACAGGTATACAATTTTATGGACTTTGGTATCACAATGGATCCGAAACTTAATTTTAATCTTCACATTAATGTGACAGTCAACAAGGCTAAAGGTGTACTTGCATTTGTGAAACGATGGTCAAAAGAATTCAGTGACCCTTATATCACTAAAACCCTGTTTACAACATTAGTTAGACCGATTCTGGAATACGGTTCGGTGGTTTGGAATCCAAGGTATCAAATTTACTCAGACAAGATAGAATCAATTCAAAAACAATTCCTACTTTTTGCTTTAAGAAATTTCCGTCGGGATTCTCAATATAACCTTCCGCCTTATACGAGCCGATTAAAACTTATTAATCTTCCAACACTTGTCAGTCGCAGGGTAATGCGGTACAATTTTTATACCCGAGCGCACTTGTGCACAAGGGTATATTAACTTTGTTCACATAACGGTTGTTTGTAACAGCCAAAACGAATCGAGATAGATATAGACAAATGTATACATAAATGCTCAGAATGAATAGAGAAGTCGATTAAGCCATGTCTGTCCGTCCGTCCGTCCGTCCGTCCGTGTACACGATAACTCGAGCAAAACTTGAGATATCTGAACGAAATTTGGTATGTAGGTTTCCATTTATCCAAGGTAGGTTGGTATTGAAAATGGGCGAATTCGGACTGTAACCACGCCCACTTCCCATATAACGGTAATTTTCAGATATACGAAAAATGCGATATTTTAGTAACTTCTGAAGATTATTCACTCAAAATTGATATTTACAATAAATTTTAGACGAAAAATAAGAATATTATAAATTTTTGGAAAATGCGCGTAGCCACGCCCGTGTATATCTTGGTAACCGCTGCACCAATTTCTTCCAAACTTGGCACAGTTATTGGCCTTGGTACACCATATCAAATGCCCGAAAATTTTTAAAATCGGACAATAACCACGCCCACATCCCATATAACGGTAATTTAGAGAAATACAAAATCTTCGATAAATCAGTAAATATTAAAGCTAATTTATTCAAAATTGATGCTTGCAACAACTCTTTACCAAGACATATGTTTTTGATAAAATTTTGGAAAATGAGCGTGGCACGGCCCACTTATAATCACATATATGTATCTCGGTAAACGTTCTACCAATTTGTACCAAACTCGGTATGGTTATTGTGCTTGCCACATAAAAGCAAAACGTTGATTGAAATCGGACTAAAATTACGCCCGCTTTTCATATAACGGTAAATTTCAGAAATGCTTGAAACTTCAATATTTCGAAATTTAAGGACGTTAATTTACTCGCTCAAAATTGATACACCCCGGCTTACCATGTAGCGGTAGCTTTCGGAAAGGTGAAAATCATATATTTAATACTTGCGCCGGATATATAATGTTCGTCTCCGCCCGAACTTAGACTTTCTTACTTGTTATGGTTAAATTACTGACAGGCTCAATTTCAAGTCCGCTTCTTCTAGGTGAAGTTAGCCTTAATGTTCCTTCGCGTGTATCAAGACACTTTTATCCCCTATGTTTGAAAACTTGTAAAACTAATTTTGAATTACACGAGCCACTCCGTTGCTTATGCCAGGATTTTGACTCTCATTCCAGCACATTTGATATATCTGATTCGCTTTTCAGCATTTAGGAAGCGATACTATCCTCTCTCAATAAATGAATCATTAACATAAAGACATAAAATCAGCTGATGAATTTAGTTCTGTAGCTGAACAGTTTTAGACCTCGACACTTAACAAACTCCTGCCTATCGTGACTCGGCGCAAAAATGGAAAATATTGGTTCCGTACGTCATGCGGACTGCGTGCGGATGGGCGGGAATGGAGGGTAAAAACCGTTGGGATTATTATTATTATTAAACTATGCCGTTAAATTCGCTGAAAAGACCAACCATAAAGCGTTATTAAAGCGCTAACTAGGAAAAGTGGTAACGTAACTTAATTTTCGGCAACACTAATCTCACCAAGCTGCCAAAAATTCTCTGGGTACCAGGGCATGCTGGAATACTGGGAAACAAATTGGCAGACATCGCAGCGAAAGAAGCTGTACGTTAGAGCTGCAAAACTATCGATTGTTGGGCCATTCGATATTTTCGATAGTTTTGGGCCTCACCATGCGATAGTATCGATACTATCGGTAAGAGATGCGTAATCTTAAGAGCAAAAATATGAGACCCTTACTACGGCACTAATTATATTGAACATGGTAATATTAGGGCCAGTTTTTCAGTGCATGGTCGTGATTTAAACTCAGTTTAAACGCTCGATCTGGCTGGTTTAAACTAAGATCAGCCAATCAAATGTCAGCCAGCTGTTCAATTTAAACTCAGTTTAGTTTCACTGAAAAACTGGCCTTTAGTAGTAAAAATGAAGGCTAGTTTTAAACGCCATTTTTAGTGTGATTTTTTAAACATAATAAAGTTGGTTATTTTGAACAACAAAAAAAATGCATTTCAATTATTTCATGTTAAAGCTGTCAAACGAAAACAAGTTTTCGCTGAAAACTACTTGAAAACTCACGTTCCACTCATTCCAATCGGTGTCTTCACTAGTATTTTAGATATATTTATCGAATTGGAAATCAGATTTTATCATCTCTAATACGCTAGTTGGGATTTATTGTTGTTGCTGGCCAAATTAAAATATGAACAAAAGAAAAAGGTTGCTAATGATAAGAAAATGAAAGGCAAAGATTTTGATTTTGTTTTTTCGTAGCAAACCTGTAAACAAAGGATGAAAGAAATGTCAACGGAAACACTAACAGCCGGTGCGAACAGCTTTCAGTCCACAATCCCAAAAACTCGTTTTCAAAGTGTTTTCGTTGTCGGCCCGAACATGGTAAAAAGTAGGAATTATAACTCGCATCCAATAATGGAAATGATGAGAAAAGATTGCCGATGGTATCGCGATAGTGACCACCATTCATCGATAGTGGTGACAAATTGAAACAATCGATACTATCGATAGTGCCATCGATAGTTTTGCACCTCTACGTCTTCCTTTAATCTACCGAGCCTCAATGTATAGATACAGTGATCATCTCATGTTACTCAGCTAAGCAATCTGTAACAAAGTCAGCTGAGTGGAGCATCTCGCGCAACTTTTTAAGGGTTCACAACACTAACAAGGCCGAATTATAATACCAACATTTCCCGTGAGGAATGTGTAACTCTTGCTATAGTCAGACTTGGAACAACGCTATTTTTGGGCATTGAACACATATCCAAAAATCTGCACATGTACCTTACAATATTTTATAAATAAATAAATGTTTATACAAACAAATAAAAATATACAGGATATAGTACATTTAGGTTAACAATGCTAAGTCTTTTAATAAAAATTGTATTTTCTTATAAATTAAATATGGCCGATAGTATCGATGAACAAAGCTAAATCTTTAATAAAAATTGTATTTTTCTTATCAATTATATATGGCCGATAGTATCGATATATCGATAGTGTTCATCGATACGATCGGAAAATATCGATAGTCATTACTATCGATAGTTTTCCACATCTACAGCTTTACGAAAAAACCACTAGCATCTCCGGGTCTGGTCAACTGAAAGGGCGTGTTACCCTAGTATGTATATAAGTAAATGGAGATATTTACAATTGTGTATTTATTTTATTTACTGACAAAGTTCAGAAACCTGTTTAGTTTGTAAATAAGTTAAGGATACTTACATAACATCATGTGTATAAGCCTTACACATTGCCTTTTTGCTAGCAATGGAATATGCCAGGAAAATGATTGGTATATTGTCTTTATCAATTAAAGTACAAAAGTTATTTCCTTGAAGGAGAAGGCTGTAATAAAAAGCTTTAATAAAATTTTTATATACATTTAATATAAATTTTACATACTTGCACAAATCACGTAAAATATTGTTTGCAGCAGTAAATATTTTATCATCAAGAACTCCTTTGTCACTTGTAACAAAAACGCCTTTGAAATATGAAAAAGAAGGAATAATAGGTCCGTTAGACAAGAGCAGAGATTTTTGCACAGTAAAATAATCAATAAACCGGTGAATGCTACCCAAAAGGTGTAACACTTTGCAGAGCCAAGAGAGCACTCACTGGTCCCAAAGTAAATTTTTTTGTAATAAAATAAACCTAAGTTATTATGATGTTGTAACTAAGGAAAGTCAATAAAAAAGGTATACATATGTATGTACAGATCGAGGGTGACAGGTAATAAGATCAACGGAAATAAGGTCAATTGACTTTATTTCCCACCAGGGTGACATTATTACCTTTTTAAAAACGAAATAAAATCAATTGACGTTATTTCTCTTTCAAACATTAAATTTGCTTAACTTCGCGGCGGCCCGCGTCAGCGCGCCACACCGCACCCACTGGTCCCAAAGTAAATTTTTTTGTAATAAAATAAACCTAAGTTATTATGATGTTGTAACTAAGGAAAGTCAATAAAAAAGGTATACATATGTATGTACAGATCGAGGGTGACAGGTTATAAGATCAACGGAAATAAGGTCAATTGACTTTATTTCCCACCAGGGTGACATTATTACCTTTTTAAAAACGAAATAAAATCAATTGACATTATTTCTCTTTCAAACATTAAATTTGCTTAACTTCGCCGCGTCCCGCGTACCCCGCGCGATCGGCGCGCACACCACGTACCGCTACGCCGCCGATAGAGGGTATTAATGAATTCAAGCCAGACATTGGCAAAGGGTGCTGTTTTTGTGACTTTAAGCCTACTCACGTTAAAAACGGAGGATGAACGAACACCACCGCAAAGCGTGCTGTCTTGCAAATACAGCCACCACAAGTGAACGATGCTTATAACAGCTCATACTGATATTGACTTCGGCAAATCTGTACTCCGAATGATCGTGCACGAAACCAGCAACCGCCGTATTTGATCGACAGCCATAAGCACGATACTGCATTTGGACGGTTGCCGAAAGCATGACAGCTTATGTGAAAGACTGGCGAAGGCAAGATGCCGCAGTTAGCTAACTTGATTTGTTGCAGAAGTCAAACCGCCGCCTTTGGTTTGTTGCGGAAGGCGCGTTTGACGTGTTGCCGAAGTGATGATACTGTAGTTCAAAAACATTCAAAGACAATTGCTTGTTTGAAATGAAGCATTGATATGTACATACATACATACGTACGTATGCACATTCCTCACAACTAGCCAGCAGTGAGCAATGCAATTTAATGGTAGACGCGCTATAAATACATACATACATGCATACGAGACGATAAATTACCCTTTACCACATTCGTCGTCATTTCAGCAACAAGTCAGATGATTTTCAGCAACAAGTCAGATGATTTTCAGCAACAAGTCAAATGGCTTTCAGCAACAAGTCAGATGATTTTCAGCAACAAGTCAAACGACTTCTGCAACAAATGATGACTCTCATGTTTTCGGAGCCGTTCAACTGCCACGTTTGCTGGTTTCGTGCACGATCATTCAGAGTACAGATTTGCCGAAGTCAATATCAGTATGAGCAGTTATAAGCATCGTTCACTTGTGGTGGCTGTATTTGCAAGACAGCACGCAATGCGCTCGTGTTCAGTCATCCTCTAATTTCGTTTAGGTATCGATACTACTAAGCCAACGCCGCTGCTCAGTCATACAAAGCAGCGGTATTGAATGAGTATGAACAGTTGACGATCAACCAATGCCATTCCCTGATTCAAGCCCTCGATATTTCACATTTTTATATTTGTAAGTTATTGGAAGCAGGGATGCCAACTTGGCTCAAACCGTGCTATTTGTCCCTATTTTACTTCAAATGGCACTTAATTTTTCAATTTGGCACAAAGTGCCAAAATGGAACTTTTGTAAAAAAAAAATAACATTTCAATACATTGTTGTGAAATCCTTTGCATGCACTTCTTTTTCTCAACTAAAACTTTCTAATTTATAAAGGCTATTCAACTGGTTTAGCTTATTTTATCATTGCACTTTTGTTTTGAAAATGTGGCTTTATTTTATTGCTAAATGTGAATGATTAAAAGGAATGGCACCTTTTTTGGCACTTTTATTTTTCTATTTGGCACATTTTGGCACTTTTTTATCCTCAATATGGCACCCCCTAACTAAGGATAGTTGGCAGCCCTGATTGGAAAATTTCTTCTGTGTTTTGGCAACAACTTGTCTGTAGTAAAAAAGCATATAATTTGTGTTTCAAAAGCGTTTGAAAACCACCGTTCAATTAACTTATATGATCTCGGTTCCGATATTAAATAATCAATAATTGTTTATACCCGCATATTGGCACATTGGCTCGTTAAATGTGCCATCTAATAAATAGTGTCGTCGTTCTCCTTAGCTGCTTTTAAATGATGTCGTCACAAATTGCTGGCGGAGACATGACTACAGTGTAAGAAAATTCTTTTTCTATAATTGTTTCCTTATAGAAAGGTTGGTCTCTTTTCCAACTTAGACATTCCGAATTCGTTCAAAATATGCTAATTTAAAACACAGAATTCTTTCAGTGTTCCTCCGGGGTTTTTGGACATGGACTGTTTCTTCAATTTAATAGTGTTCGCTCTATTTTTGTGGAAACGAAACATGTTTTGCAAGTTATGGATCATTTCTACACTCTTTCTTCAAATATTTCTCGTATTCCAGCTGTGCGCAGGCGTTTAGTTTTTCGCATCGTGTTTTTACATATTCGTAATTTAAATTTTTTTAATAAAATCAATTGGTGGTAGTTCATGATTGTGTGTGGATTAATATCACCACACTGAGGATTTGGCAATAACCTTTGTCATCTATTAAAAAACAACACTTACGGGGCAATGTTTGTTGTAAGAGCAAACTTTTTTTCTATGAATCGACATACTTTAAGCATTGTTGACGCTATTTCCATTTTAATGAGGAAATAGTGTCAATGACTTTATTTCCAACTTTTTGTTGACTTTATTTCGCTTTCGAAAAGGTTATAATGTCAATTGACTTTATTTCGCACCAGGGTGGGAAATAAAGTCAATTGACCTTATTTCCGTTGATCTTGTTACCTGTCACCCATCGAGCCCTAACCGCCAAAAAACGTAAGCATCTAGATGCATTTCTGAAACGAAAATTTCGCTTACGTTTGTTTTGCGGTTAGGGCCCTATATGTACAATTTTTGGACGAAACGGGCCAACCTCACCTTTGCCACCCATAAAACCTTATTTAGATTGCAAGATTTTTTGATAAAAAATCTTTATATCGTAGTACATATGTATATATTAAACAATTTTTTTATTCACACCCATGATATAAATCTAATGTGCGTGATATTATGACCAGGGTTGCCACTGACGAAATGAAATACTTACCATCAACTTGAAAATAGTCTACCAAATCTGGAAAATATCTTCCAATAACTTTTTTAATTACCAATTTTAATAAAAACTATTACTAACTGTTCTATTTGTTTAGTTATTTCGAAATAAAAGTTAAAATTTATTATTGAGGAACTTTTTATTTAACTAATGATATGGTAATTGAGGTCATATTGGCATATTCTCGTATGTACTTATCGCAACCTAAATCAAAAACAGTCACAACTAAAAATTTGCAAAATCGATTTTTTCCCATAAAAGGTACACGGATTCTATATCTATCGTCCGTCAAAGTTTGTACCCATTATTATCTTCTTTAACTAGAAAAACACTACTAACGGGTCTATTCTGCACATTACCGAAGATTTTATAACCGAAAAATTGTATTACCAAAAAATGTTACCAGCTCTTGTCATCGCGATTCTAGGTACGTTGGCAATTCAGTTGAAATATTTAGCTATGAAGATTTGTGAAAATTCTGGCATTGAATATTTCACGCAGCAATATTTTGTTACCAGCTTATGAGATGGTAGTAGTAGGCAGCGCTGCTTCTCCGGTTCCAGAATAGGTATATGGTTTGCTGCTGATCCGGTTTCACAACCGCTATAAGGTTTGATGCTGCTCCGACACAAGCTTTGCTGCTCCTCCAAAAGATGTCGAAGATCGAAATCCACGTTCAGAACCCAGATAAAAACCGCAAGATGTCGCTGGTGACATATCCGAATCCAGAACCGGAACCGATCACAGGGTATACCGCTGATGCAAATCCGAGAATTCCGATACAAGGTGGTTTATATGTCGAAAATTGATAAAATGTATTGGCATACATCTATACATACGTATTCTCATACATGCATCCATATGCAAACGTACATACGTACATATGTATATACATATGTATATAGATGCCCCACCCCTAGAAAAGTGTGTTAATATTGATAAGTATTTAATATGTATGTGTATATGAATGGAAAAGGCCTGTTGATGTTGATGATGAGAACAAATAAAATTATTAATAATTACTTATTTATTTTTATAAGAATTTTAAACATGAATGTCCGCAATTATATGAATTATAGCTTTGCTGTTTATTATAGTTATATTTAATGTTTTTTCCTAAATACTTTATTATTTTCTTAGGAGGCTGTAAGTTTCCAAAGCTATTGAAGTAATCAATCTCATTATCGTTTTTCTAGTAAGCTACCCAATGCGTTCCCGGACCCTTTGAACTATCCAAATTTATTATTCCACATTCTCTCTTAAATGGTTTACGGGGTAAAGTGTCACACATGAATACCCCTCTAAAATTTGGAATAAATTTTGAATACTTCTTTAAGTCTACATCAGTAAGAGGTTCTCTGGGTAGCTTTATTAAGAGTTTTTTTGGTATGGTTTTAAATATAATCCGAATTCCTTTTTATAAGGCTTTAAAAACATTTCTTTTCCCATTGAAATAGCTTCCATTGTATTATGACGTTTCGCCTCCAATAACTGCTCCTTTCCAGTTTTTATAGCATTAATTGTTTTAATAATTCCTGCTGTACCGCCAGATAGACTTCCAAGTGCTCCTAATGCTACGAATAAAGGCGCTAATGGGAGAAATCCTCCAGATTTAGGTAATGGTATTACAC